GAGAAAAAAAACCCCCCAAAAAAAAAAAAAAAAAAAAAAAAAAAATCTTGTTATGTAAGAAAGGAAGTTGTTGGGGCCAGCAGGTGGTGTGGTATTTAGAGCACTGGACTCCCACATGGTTGACCACACCTCGAATCCTGGACTCAGTGGCTTTAAAAATCATTCTGGCCACGTGTTCATGTGTGCCCAAAATCCCCAGAGGAGAATGGAGGAGAAGTGATGGAAGAAGGGCCATTCCCCCACGGTGGTGATTTTTCACTTTCCCTCTCTGTGTGACTTTCCAGTGAGCGCATGTGCCCTATGGCCAAAAAAAAAATAAATAAATAAAAATGAAAGCATATCGAAGGGACATAGGAACCAACCTGAGGGGCTCTCCACTTTTAACAAGATGAGTAATTGATAATAAATAATTTTATATTTATATTTATTTATATTATTTATATTAATTTTGTATTTTGTATTTATTTTCGTTCATACCATTTTACTGAAAATTTGAAATTATTTTCAAATAAGTTAAAAACCAAGCTTATACAATGCTCAGAGTTGTACTCTTGTTTCAAAGAGTTCATAGTAATATTTAGATACACATATATTTAATACTAGTAAGTTTATAAGTTAAACTAGATTTATAAACACTTGAATCTAAGATATTATTTTCCTTAAGGTATTAAACTAAATGATCTTGTTGAGTTCATTGAATGTACATATTGAGGAACTTTGTTCAGTTCATGTAATTTGTTTACATAAAATAAGTCATGTTAGATGACCATGTCGGTCTTTTATTCATTATCTTTATTTACAGCATATTTTAAATGTAAATATTTTCCATATACCATCATCTAGAATCTCATGTTATTATTTCTTTCTAAAAATCTAAGTGCCTTAGTAAGACACATAATGCATTATTATATTAGTGTTATATTAGTGTATAGGTGATTTTACTAAAAGCTATATACCTTTATGTTGTGGGTTTTTTTTTTTTTTTTTTTTTTTTTGGAGACATTTTTCGCTACAGGGCGCATGCACTCGCCAGACAGACAGAGAGAGACATAGAGACAGAAAGCGAGAAATCACCCCCCAGGGGGATGGTCACGCTGCAATCCCTTCTCCTCCATTCTCCTCTCGGGATCTTGAGCATGCACGCACATATGAGCCCAGCATGAGTTTAAGCCACCGGGTTCGGGGCATGAACCGTGGTTGACTACGTGGGAGTCCAGCGACATAACCGTTACGCTAACTGATGGTCCTCAGAGGTTAAATTTTGTTGGTTTTTGTTTTTTTTTTTGGAGAGGTTTTTCGCTACAGGGCGCATGCGCTCGCCAGACAGACAGAGAGAGACATAGAGACAGAAAGCGAGAAATCACCCCCCAGGGGGATGGTCACGCTGCAATCCCTTCTCCTCCATTCTCCTCTCGGGATCTTGGGCATGCACGCACACGCGCCTGGAGTGAGTTTTAAGCCACTGGGTCCGGGACGCGAACCGCAGTCGACTAGGTGGGAATCCAGCGACACAGCTATTACGCTAACTGCTGGTTCCTGCCAGAGGTTAAATTTTGATCTACTGTCCTCTCAAGCACCGGGATGGGAATCCTCATCCAGGAGCTGGCTGGCTCAGGATTTGGTTATGCATGTCCTAGGAAAACTCTGGGTTGCAAGAGGCCAAAGACATGAGTCAGCTCGAAGCTAACTTTTTTTGCTCAGGACTCTTGAGATGGAAGAATGTTCTAGAATGAGTTCATCTGTAGCTACTAAAGAGTTCTTATCACCTCAAAGAGGAAACTAACTGGGGAGCTGAATGATGTTCAGACTTGCCATGACCCCTGAGATTGGCTCCCCTTAGGTATTTCAGGTTACTGTCACCGTTCATCCTGCCTCCTGCCCTGCCCAGATGTGTGACAGCACTAAACAGTATGAAAGCTGCTCTGAAACTGCACCGCACGGTGATGGGACAAGAGAGTCATGTGGGCAAGTGTCAACTGGAGATGAAAGAGTTGTCAATTCTGGCCCAGCCTGGTGGCACAGTCGGGAGCCACCTGAACTGGAGGGCTGGAAGCCACTTGGCTGACTGTGGGTCTGGATGCCGAGGTCAGCTTGAAAACACACCAAGCCCAGGTGTGCGTGCCCAGGCTCCTGATCAGCTAGAGGGCTGGGGAGGGGATTGTGGCATGATGAGACCCTGTCAAGGGTGCTTTTCTCTTTCTCCTGTGCACGTGTGCATACTATTGTGAACGAAATAATTAAACCAAAAAAAAAAAAATGAGTGCATTCTCTTATGAACGAAATAATTAAACCAAAAAAAAAAAAAAAAGAAGTGTGTATGTTTTGTTTGATGATAACTTTCCAGGACCTTATGGCTAAAATACATACACATCATCCCATCTAGCCAAGTCAGTAACCACTTTGTAAGCTGCTCAAGGGATGACGGAGGCCGTGTTTGAAAACGGACATCTACAAAAGCGCTGTTCTACCACAAGCTGCCGAGACAGCACGGAAGGGGATGACAGCTTCAGTTCTCCTTTTCTAGCAAGAGCCTATTCCCTGAGATGCCCACGGTTCTCATCACGAAGTAGCTCAATGGGGCGACCACAAATCAGGAACAAAGCACTAATGCCAGACCCCTTCTGCCCCTCAGACAGCACCGCTGGGTTAGGTGGAGGCGTGACACCACAGGGGTCTTACATGGTGCACAGGAAACGATGAGCTAAGCCTGACCCGCACTTACTAAGGTGTCTGACATGAAAAATAAGCGCGCGGTAAATGTAATTACTATTATTACCATATTTCCTCAGCTCTGAGTCTTCAGTTTTTACAAATTTTGGCATTTATCTAATAGGGTACATCTTACAATCTCTATATACATTCATTGGTTTTATCTCCCTACCTCTCAGGTGGTCATTAAATGAATCGTGTGTCTCACAACTGATGGTGCCCTCGAATCAAGGGAATATGGACAGCCTAAGAGCCCAAACCAGTGAAAGGGAACCCCGAGCATGCCCAATGCACACCAAAGGGCCGCCTCCAGGCAGGCCTCTGGGTTTATCAAGGGGTTAAACATAAGGATCTGGAAGGACTTAGGGACAAGGGGAAGAGAGAAGAGATGTGGCCTAGAAGCTAAGGAGCTAGGGACAAAAAGTCAGGAGAAGCCTGGAAGGGGGACAAGAAGACGTCGCCAGGTGAGTGCGACATCCCCAAAGACAGATGAGAAGGGAAGTCTGTACCAGCTGGGTCACCCAGCCCGGGGTGGTAGGATGAATGTCAGTTCCCTTTTCTTCCCTGAACTGACCCAGGACAGCCAGTGAATGAAGCAGGAAGGCCTTATTCATGGGTCCCTGGGGGAGTAGAAGGGGACTGGCATCGGGCTGGACTGGAGGAAGCCGACGCCATCAGGTGTCAGGGGAGCTGAGGAGGCGCAAGGGAGACCCTTGCAGGAATGGGAGCAGTACCCACAGCGGATGAACCCGGCCACCAGGGCAAGTCTGGGGCGCGGGCCGCGTAGAGGGGAGACAAGCTCAGGATGCCGGCCAGGAGGAAAAAGACAAGGGGCGAGAGCCACAAATAGTGTGATGGTTGTGAAAGTGGGGACGTGGGACCGGCAGGGAGGAAGGTGGGCCGAGGCGACGAAAGGGGGGAGCGCACCCCCGGGAAGCGGGGAGCGGTCAGCCCGGCCCGATTGAATAGAGCGGTCAGAGCGGCGGGGCACCGGGGGCGGTCGGTTGCTCACCTTTGACGTCGTTGGCCACCGCCTTCCACGTCGGGGCGAAGGCGATGC